TTATAGGGTTTATAGGGGGCTTCAGGGTTTCAACGCTTTAGGGCTTTGGGGCTTTTAGGCTCTGGGGCCAAGCCCCATTGAGGTTTTAGGCGTGAGGGTGGTTTGGGGCTCGGGGTTTCTTAATGGGATTGAGACATGGGCCCGAGAGACCCATCTTGGGTTCACATTGAACACCCTCATAAGCACTTCCCTATGTTTCTGCAGCGTTTAGGGTTTAGGGTTTGGGTTTACAGGGCTTATAGGGCTTATAGGGTTTATAGGGTTTGTAGGGTTTATAGGGTTTATAGGGTTTATAGGGTTTGCAGGGTTTATAGGGTTTATAGGGTTATAGGGTTATAGGGTTATAGGTTTATAGGGTTTTTAGGGCAAGTCCGGGTGTCAGAATCTGGTCGTCCGCCAGGCCGACGTCGCCCACCTGCCATTCCGGCATCCCATCTCTCGGCCCACCCCTACTTCTTCTATGAGGCTTAGGGCTTAGGGCTTAGGGCTTAGGGCTTAGGGCTTAGGGCTTAGGGCTTAGGGCTTAGGGCTTAGGGCTTAGGGTCTATACAGCTTCGGACCTATGAATGCTACCCACACCCAAACGACCTCCACCCCAACGAAGGCCCAAATGAGGCTGAATTGAGGCGCCTTAGTTGGATAGAGGGCAGTTGGAACGAGGGGAGAGAACCCTCATTACCCCGAGAAGCCTCGAACCCTAACCCCAGTTCAGGTTTAGGGTTTAGGGTTTGGGGTTTAGGGTTTAGTAGGGTTGAGTAGGGTTGAGTAGGGTTTAGTAGGGTTAAGGGTTTAGGGTTTAGTAGGGTTTAGGGTTTAGGGTTTAGGGTTGACGGTTTAGGGTTTAGGGCTTGGGGTTCAGGCCTTTGCCGCTTCGGAAAGGGTGTCCCCGGCAGCGGTCAGGAGCCAACGTAGGCAGCTCTCGCTGTCGATTGCCTTCCTCATGGTTGGGTTTCGGGGCTCAGAGATGAAGTGCATGGAGCCCTGAACCCTAAACCCTAAACCGTCAAGCCTAAACCCAAAACCCAAAACCCAAAACCCAAAACCCTAAACCCAAAACCCTAAACCCTAAACCCTAACCACAACAACAAACCCCAACGGCCGACCTCTTATCGCATCCTGGCTGCTGCGCGCGGAATTTGCGCTCAGCGATCTGCAGCAGCTCCGCCACTCGCATCCTGGGGTGCACGTAGCACGTCGATTATGCTTAGGGCTTAGGGCTTAGGGCTTAGCGCTTAGGGCTTAGGGTTTAGGGTTTAGGGTTTAGGGTTTAGGGTTTAGGGTTTAGGGTTTAGGGTTTAAGCTTTAGGGTTTAGGGCAATTACAGGGTTCTTAAGGGAGGGGGCTTCAAGAGGGTATATAACCCCTCTACTCCCCAACGAAGTCTCCCTAAGCTCACCTACCTCCCTTGAACCCCCCTCCCTTTTTTCAACCCTATAAGTCAGGAACGCAGGGGAGTTTGGGTGTGAAGGTTTGGGGCATTTCCCGAAACCCTAAACCCGCCTCCCCGCTAAAAAGGGCCACTGTAATGATCTCCCGTGGTAGGGCTTAGGGTTTAGGGTTTACGGTTTTGGGTTTTAGGGTTTAGGGATTAGGGTTTTAGGATTTTAGGGTTTTAGGGTTTAGGGTTTAGGGCTTGGGGTTTGGGGTTTAGGGTTTGGGGTTGCGGGTTTGGGTTTAGGGTTTAGGGTTTAGGGTTTAGGGTTTAGGGTTTAGGGTTTAGGGTTGAGGGCTCAGGGTTCAGGGTTCAGGGTGCAGGGTGCAGGGTTCAGGGTTCAGGGTTCAGGGTTCAGGGTTTAGGGTATAGGGTTAAGGGTTTAGGGTTTAGGTTTGGGGTTTTTAAGGCCCGCATGAGTCACACGGTCTACTAAAGAACCCTCCGCAGGCGTACTCTGGGGTTCTTGAAGCCCCCAGAAACCCTGAACCAGAAAACCCTAAACCCCAAAATCCCTAGCCAAACTTGCTAGATCTAAACCCCGAAACAGCGCGAACGATCCTAAACCCTAAACCCTAAACCCTGAACCCTAAACCCTAAACCCTAAACTATAGTCCCTAAAACCCTAGAACCCTAAACCCTGACTAGGGTGGCCCTTGAAACCCTCAAAAACATTCCTAGATATGATCTGTTTAAACCCCACAAGGGAAAATGTAAAGTATGTCAAGGGCCTGTCTTGCCAAAATGACCGGAAAAATACCTAAACCCTAAACCCTAAACCCCAAACCCCAAACCCCAAACCCTAAACCCTAAACCCTAAACCCCGAACCCTAAACCCCTACAACCCCTACGTACCCGGAAAACCTCTGAGCAGCTCCAGGTCAGGTGGCTCTAACTCGGCCTCCACGGCCGCCTGGCGGCCACTCAGCCTTGGGTTTCGGGTTTTGGGTTTAGGGTTTAGGGTTATGGGGCGGGCTTAGGGTTTAGGGTTTTGGGTTTAGGCTTTAGGGTGTAGGGCTTGGGGTTTGGGGTTAAGGGTTTGGGGTTTAGAGTTTAGGGCCACAGGGTTTAAGGTTTAGGGTTTGGGGTTGTAGGGTGTTGAGTTTAGGGTTTAGGGTTATAGGGTTTAGGGTTTAGGGTTTAGGGTTGCCGTGAAAAAGGGCTGCTGCTAACAGCGATAGCAATCGTTGTTGTGTTTTTTCACTGTGATTATTGCTGTTGATGCAAGCTGTTTGTTCGAATGCATCACAACCACAAAGGAAACATCTAGTTGCAGCCGCAATGACCATTATGACTTGAAGTAAGATGTCATACCAACGAAACCATCCAGCAAAAGGCGGGCTTCGGTTAGGCGTGAGTGTTCGCCTAAACCACCCCAACATTCTCCGAGTTTTTAAGGGCAATGGGCCATCGTTCTTGCGTACTTTTTAGGGGGGGGGGTGGGGGGGGAGGGAACCAGGGAAGGTTCAAGTAAGCGTTCCAGCGCATGTAAGCCCTACAAACCCTCTGCGTTTGGAGTTTGAAGTTGGAGGGGCGCAGGGGATCAAGCACTAAGGTTGAAAACAACCCCAAATTGCAATGTCTCAGGGAATGAATGGTGCTTTTTTTCTCACAGGTGCTGCGACTACGTCAAAACGGAGTGCCTCAGCAGGCTGTCTTCATAAGTCGGTTTGGGGTTTAAAGTTTGGGGTTTGGGTTTTGAGGATCTAGGGGTTTTCAGATTTTGCGGCTTAGGGGTTTGGGGCTTGTCTTCTTGCGATAGGGCTCAGGGGTGGTGCTTACCATTCCTCAAGGGTTGGCGGACCCTGAACTACAAATGCAGCTGAAGGTTTGGGGGGTGAAGGAGGGGGGGGGAGGGGTAACCCTAAACTGCTACCTAAACCCTAAACCCTAAACCCGAAACCCTAAACCCTAAACTCTAAACTCATCGAAGCCCCACCATGCCAAATCCAAGCAGCAAGGCCACGACAATTCGAACGGACATTGCTCGTCTGAGCGTTTCCTCCTAAAACAGGAGCCTAAACCGATACCGATACTATCCCCCCCTGTCAATCCGACATAGCCAGCTCAACTACCCAAAACTCGAAACGATCCTCGGACTCTTAGGGAATCCCGTGGTACCTTCTATCCCGTTACGTACCTAAACAAACCCTCAACCCTTTCAGGGATTATAGAAGGTAGGTACCCTGATCCTCGGTAGGGGGGTTTGCAGTAAACTCCAGAAAGTTGGAACATGCTAAACCCTAAACCCTAAACCCTAAACCCTAAACCCTAAACCCTAAACCCTAAACCCTAAAGCTGATTAGAGCTGGGTTCCCTTTGGTATACCTTTTGGGGTATGGGGATAGGGATGTTCCAACTGTTTAGAGTTTGCTCTCCCTAAGCCCTAAACCCTAAACCCTAAACCCTAAACCCTAAACCCTAAACCCTAAACTAGGTAAACCAAGTCCCCAGAAGGCTGGACTCGATGAGTTTCGGGCTTCTGCAAGGGTTTGGGTTTTTTTGTGGGGGTTTAGGGTTTAGGGTTTAGGGTTTAGAGTTTAGGGTTTAGGGTTTGGGGTTTAGGGGTTAGGGGTTTAGGGGTCAGGGGTCAGGGGTTAGGGTTTGGGTGTGGGGAAAGTGGGGTGTGCAGGCGCCTAAACCCTACGCTGGCCATTGCTCACCATGAGTTGGCAGAGCTTTGAGCCAACCTGGTGCCGGCAAGTGGACGTGCAGGAGTTGCAGCTGTTGGGGTTTCGGGCTTAAGGCTAAGGCCTCGGGGATATCGATGGTTTAGGGTTTAGGGTTCAGGGTTCAGGGTTCAGGGTTTAGGGTTTAAAGCCATAAACCCTGAACCCCAAAACTGAACAAACTATCGAAGTAGGACGTCCCATCCGTGTATTTCCTGCCCCTTGAAAACTTTTCCAAATAAGAATAGGGACCTTACACTGGTAAACCCTAAACCCTAAACCCTAAACCCCAAACCCCAAACCCTAAACCCTGAACCCTAAACCCTATACGCAAGAAGCAGAAGATACGAAGCCCGCAAATTCGGGAAGGACTGCGCAGATCAGGGGCGCAGGGCTCCTAGACACTAAGCTCCGTGATTCATGATTGTGGGTATAGGCTCAGGGCTGCAAGACACACTGTACCCTAAACCCTAAACCCTAAACCCTAAAACCTAAACTATGAACAAAGAAAGCCTCAACCTGAAATGGACGGCTCATCGGTGTTTGTCGGGGCTGCTTATGACTGAGGGCTCATAGGGCTTCGAGCATTCTAGGGCTTCCAGGGCTCAGGGCCTTTGCTGGGCTTATGTACGTAGGGATTTGGAGGGTTGTAAAAGGGTTGCTATGGGTTGTTATGGCGTTGTTGTACTTCTTTGAAAACCTGCTCCTAGTCCCTACACTAAGCCCTAAAACCCTGGAACCCGCAAACCCTAACACCCTCAAAAGGGATGTTTTGTCTGCTTTGGGGGGCAGGGGGGTGGATTCCAGGTGGACCCTAAACCCTAAACCCTAAACCCAAAACCCTAAACCCTAAACCCTAAACCCTAACCCTAACCGACCCTTCTTGCTGCCCTTGGCACCGGCTTCGCGCAGTCCGGCGATCCTTGGGGGTGAAAGCTTCGAGGGTTTAGGGTTGAGGGTTTGGGGTTTGGGGTTTAGGGTTAGGGTTTTTGGTTTTGGGTTTAGGGGTTTAGGGTTTAGGGTTTAGGGTTTTAGGGTTTAGGGCTTGGGGTTTAGGGTTTGGAGTTGCGGGTTTAGGGCTTGGAGTCTTCCTGAACACAAACACGCAAGTGCAGCCAAGAAGGAGGGGAAGCTCCCTAAGCCCATACTAAACCCTAAACCCTAAACCCTAAACCCTAAACCCTAAACCCTAAACCCTAAACCCTAAACCCTCGTTCTCAGCCCAAAGCTGCCAACCCCGAACCTTATGCACCCCTAAACCCTAAACCCTAACTAAACCCTAAGCCCTGAACCCTAAACCTTAAACCCTAAACCCTAAACCCCTGAACCCCTAAACTACCCTAAACCCTAATTAAACACTAAGCCCTGAACCCTAAACCTTAAACCCTAAACCCTAAACCCCTGAACCCCTAAACCCCTAAACCCCTAAACCCTAAACCCTAACTAAACCCTAAGCCCTGAACCCTAAACCTTAAACCCTAAACCCTAAACCCTAAACCATTAAAACCCTAAACCTTGGGACGTTCCCCCTTATACTACGCGTCCTTAATCGGGATTCAAATAGGGTTTACTATAGATCCCTACGAAGGATTGTTAGTATAAGGGGGAACCTCCCAACATTAGCCCCTTAAGTCAGAAAAACCCCTGAACCTGACAAGAGGACATCTGCACCTATGGCCGTATGAGGACGTGTTGATAGGCAGCTGGGGTGCAGGTCGCACGGTTTAGGGTTCATTGACATAGCCCCTGAACCCCAAAACCCCTAAGCCTCAAAACACTTAGCCTCAAAACGCTTAACCCCCCGAAACCCTAAGCCCAAAAACAGCCTACACCTTCTAAACCCAACCACTTGGCTGACTCGACATTTGCAGGCCGGTGGCTTTCTCACCACCGGTGGGCTGGACGCCAGGTCGATCAAGGACACCTGGTTTGAGGTTTGGGGGCAGGTGGAGTTGGTGTCAGGGTTTCAGGGTTTCAGGGCTTTAAGGCTGAAGGCGGAAGGGCTTGTAAATATATAAGGGTTTTGAGGTTTACGGGCTTTTGGGGGGTTTAGGGGCTTTTGTTTGTGTAAACAGTCCTGCACACAATCCGGGAGCCTAGGTTGAGGGTTTAGGGTTCAGGGTTTTGGCTTTGAGGTGTTTAGGGCACAGTTGGTTCAACCCTACGCCCTGTTGCCTCTAGAGCCTTGCCACCTCCCTCATCTTCTCCTGGCTGACCTCTTGGCACTCTCGGGCGAGGTCCCAAGCTTGAGCTGCCGATTTCTTGGTCTTGCGATGCCTGAAGGTCGTCTTGAGCTTCGTCGGGGTCTGCTGCTCTGCGTCCTCAAGGACACCGGCGCCCTGAACGCTCATCCTTTTGTGCACCCTGCACGAAGCAGCTGTCGACACTGCAACGCTGGGGCTTGGGTGTACCCGTGCAATGATTCCTCTTTCTCATGAAGCTCTGCGTCTGTGACGATTGGAACCCAATCTTAAATCCTTTCCCCAAATCCCTAAACCCCTTACGCCCGGAACGCCCTGAATCTGGGGGCCAAGAGTAATGCCAGTGTGAGGGTTCCGGCCAAGGGTTTAGGGCTTCAGGGTTCAGGGTTGAGGGCTAACCCTACACCCTAAACCCTCAACCCTAAACCCTAAGCCCTAAACCCTAAAACCCTAAACCCTAAGCCCTACCTTCGTCAAGAGAATCTCGGTGGGTGGTTGCCGAAAACTGGTGCCCTTCGCCCTATATTAACCCTCATTCCGAGCCCTGGCTTGCCTATGCGTTTTCGTAGCTTCATGGCAAGCTTTAGGGCGGTTTAGGGTCTAGGGTTTGGGGTTTTGGGGTTTGGGGTATAGGGTATAGGGTTTAGGACTTAGGGTTTAGGGTTTAGGGCTGAGAGCCTGATACGTCCTTCAGGGTTCCGGCGGAGGGGACCCCAACCCCCACGAGGCCTGGTGGTTGGCGTTGTCGCACACGTAGAGCCTTACGGAACCTTCCATGACTCCGGGTTTAGGGTTCAGGGTGTAGGGTTTTATAGGGTATGTACGGAGTATATAAGGATTCCCGAACTAATTAAGAGCCCAGATTCAGGGACCATGAAACTGCCCTTAGATACGACCGTGCGCATGCCTCCGCAACAGCAAGGGGTGTCAAACACAGTGTGCGCAGAACAAGTGCTTCTGCCCTGAATTCACGACTCCACGCGGAACCATACCTTTGTATGGGTCGACATGCCTACGTCCACCCAAGAGGCGAAAATGTCACCATGTTCCTAAATCCTCATCCCCGTGCCCTAAAGACTATAGAGCACAACTGCAGGCGGCAAACCTGGCCACCGACTTTTATGCCTATGCAGTCGCAAACGCCGAGGACTCTCTCTCGGGATGCACAGACACTTCTGACAGTTCTGAGAGCAAACATAGAGGCCATACACTCCAAAGCCCAAACATCCAACAAACCCAAGCTCGGGTTTCGGGCTTTGGGCTTTTGTGGTTTAGGGTTTAGGGTTCAGGGTCCAGCGCCACGGTCTTAAAACCCTACTGTACGCCTCCCACGGGCTCCACGGCCAGACCCCAGGGATAGTTGAAGCCTGGGCATCAGGGAATCGGAAGGTTTAGGGTTTAGGGCTCCGGGTCTTAGGGTTGAGGGTTTAGGGCTCCAGGTTTAGGGTTCCGGGTTTAGGGTTTCGGGTGGGAGTTAGTGGGGCAACTTTCGGTATTGCAGCTCCTTGGAAAGCTCAGCCGCCCCCCCCCCCCCCCCCCCCCCCCCCCCCCCCCCCCCCAAAAAAAAAACAACCTATAGCTCCATAACCTCTTACCCTACAACCCTACTCGCCTGGAACCCAAGAACTCTACAGCCCTTACTACCCTGTAGCTCTGTAACCCTATAACCCTATAACCCTAAAACCTGAAACCCCCAAGTACGCGGTTTAGGGTTTAGGGTTTAGGGTTTAGGCTTAGCGTTGGGCCAAACAGGCCTGATGGTTTCCCTGGAACAACAAGTTCTGGCGTCGTTTCATGAGGGACTTAAGAATTTGGGGTGTCGGGGTTTAGGGGGCGGCTTTACCCGAAAAAAATGGAGCTAGCCAAGCTGCTTAGGGTTTAGGGTTTAGGGTTCAGGCAGGGTTCCCCCTTATACCAACACTCCTGAATAGGATTACAGTACCCCCGACTATAATCGGGAACATCCCAAGTATAGGGTTCAGGTAGGCTCCTTGTCGTCACGACGCATGAGCGGGTGGTGCTTGCTTCACGGGACTCATAAGAGACGTGAATCCCAAAATGGGCACCCTAGGAGCTCTAGAGGGCCTTGTAGGGTTGAGGCGTGTAGGGCTTCGGGTTTTGGGTTTCGGGTTTAGGGTTTCGGGTTTAGGTTTTAGGGTTTAGGGTTTCGGGTTTAGGGTTTCGGGTTTAGGGGTCGTGCACTCAGGGCCCAAATGCAGGGGAGAAGCGCGATAGGAGTGGATCCAGGCCGTCTTGCCCCTCGTGGGTGGCATGGGATAGGGTCAGAAGGTCCAAGCAGGGGGGTTTGCAGTGTACGCTTTACGGTTTAGGGTTCAGGGTTTCAAGGCTTCGGGTTTAGGGTGTCACCTCTCATGGCAAAAATACTCACCAATTACTCTGGAAGTCACGGTTCAATCCCGGCATGACGATGCTGCTCTTTTGCAACACCTTGGAGTAGTTGACTTCCTTGGGGACCGAACGAACCCCAAAATTGGGATCCGAAAATCTATGCTGCGAATGTATATACATATATATATATATATATTGTCTCGAATTGAGCATGCGCCCAAGAAAGTATCCCATGACGTGCAAGCATGTCCGAGCACGCAGGCAGGGCTTAGGTTTTGTGTAGGGTATACATTTTGGTCTCCAACAATCTGTCCCTGAACTCTAAAAACCCCTAAACCTAAACCCTAAACCCTAAACCCTAAACCCCTAACCCTAAACCCTGAACCCCAAACCCCCTCCGTGAGCCCGCGCACCAGGCCACCAACACCGGTGCCGGCAACCGACTCGATGATGCCTTGGCCACCACATGAGGGCTTGCAGGGCTTAGGGTGTAGGGTTTAGGGTGTAGGGGTGTAGGGTTTAGGATTTAGGGCTTAGGGTTTAGGGTTTCGGGTTTAAGGTTCAAAACTTTCAGGTTTCAGAGTTTTGGGACTTAGGGGTTCTGCGGGGTACAGATACCTCGGAAGCAGTTCCGGGGCTTGGGCGTTAAACTGGCGCTCAATTGCGGGCCCGGAGTTCAGGGGTCGAACCGGGTGGCTCTCCCAAGGCACGAGAACGTACCAAAGCCTCTTCAAGCCTTGAACCTCGGATCCGTAAATCCCCAGACCCCAAAGCCTTATCAACCCGTAACCCCCAAATCCTTAATATCCTTAACCCTAAACCCTAAACCCTAATCCCTAAACCCTTAAAAATCCCTAAACCCTAAACCCTAACCCTTAGCCCTGAAAAAGTCCCCTGTGCTCTCTCAACCCAAAGGCTTTAGAACTCTTGTCTTCGGGGCTCTCTGGCCGAGGGACCATCCTAAAAAAGAAAAAGAAGCTGTTGAGGCTAACTCAGGGCCCTAGGCCCTAGGGTCCTGTATGAACGTTTTTAAGTTGAGGGTTTAGGGTTTGGGGTGTGCACAAGAACCCCTCCTCTTGGAAAATCCGGGGAGTCTTTCATCCTCCCCGTGGTTCAAAATTCTCAGCTGTTGGCCCCGAGAAGGCGCCGAAAAGGCCCACGCCCCACATCCCTGGTCAGAAAAGAACCTTTGAAACTCGAAAGCCCAACACCTGAGCCGCAAATACTCCTAAACCCTAAACCCTAAACTCTAAACCCCTAAACCCTAAACCCTAAACCCTAAACCCTAAGCCCTAAACCCTGCACCCTGCACCCTAAAACGAAACGTAACATGAACGCATCCAGACCCAGCTGCCAGTGAGCCGGTTGGCTCCCAGCCTCGGCTTCGAAAAATCCGTCTATTTCAGGTTGAGGCTTTCGTTGTTCATAGTGTAGGGTTTAGGGTTTAGGGTTTAGGGTTTAGGGTTTAGGGTTTAGGGTTTAGGGTTTAGGGTTTAGGGTTTAGGGTTTAGGGTTTAGGGTTTAGGGCTTAGGCTTTAGGCTTTAGGCTTTAGGCTTTAGGCTTTAGGCTTTAGGCTTTAGGCTTTAGGCTTTGGGCTTTGGGCTTTAGGCTTTAGGCTTTAGGCTTCAGCTTCGATCATCTATCTAAAGTTTAAGGGCAAAGAAGGAGGGACCCCTGGAAGGGATCCTTAATCTTAAAACTACATAACCCGAAGATATAGGGGACCCTAAACCCTAAACCCTAAACCCTAAACCCTAAACCCTAAACCCTAAACCCCCCCCCCTATTCTGGGAAATACTCATATGGGGATGGAGGGCTTGAGGGAAGCGTGAGGGGACGCTGGTCAGCTGCCAGCGCCATGCCCCTGAACGGGATCCGAGCCAACGCCAGGGCGCCCACATCCATGGGTTTAGAGTTTAGGGTTTAGGGTTTAGGGTTTAGGGTTTAGGGTTGAGGGTTGAGGGTTGAGGGTTTAGGGTTTAGGGTTTAGGGTTTAGGGTTTAGGGTTTAGGGTTACCCTGCGTCCAGCCGATGGTGCGGTCTGAGGTGCAGGCTGCCAGCAAGCATCCGAAAATCTTAGAGCTGACCATGCGAGCCGGACGCCTGCCCAAACTCGGACGGACCGCCATCCTTCCCTGGAGAAAGAGAGGAGTAGTAGCTTTTGGACATGTCTAAAAAATATGTCCCAAGAATGCTATTTTTTAGGCATGTCTAAAAATAGTATCCAGTGGCAACCGCAGGCCCACCTGGACATCACGGCGAGTCCCCTCTCCTGTCTGAACGCCCGCATCCTCCGCAACGACGCACACATCCTCTAGGGGTCTGCGGGTAAGAAGAAGACTTACCAAGCATAAAGCATCAAGATCCGTTGTCTTTCTATGCATTTCTGGACAACGAAACAACCTCATTTCTGACAGCACTACTGAAAAAATGTCTCGTCTTTCCGCACATCTTACCCGTTAAACCCCCCAAGCCCTTCAGCGCGGCCTCGGGCCTCAGGGTTCTGTTATGTGAGGCTTTTATGCTTAGGGAGCGTCTGGGAGTATTCTAAAAACCCAACCCTAAACCCCAAAGCCCAAAACCCCCGAACCCCAAACCCCAAACCCCGAACCCCAAACCCCAAACCTCCGAACCCCCCCTAGGTACTATGGACTCCGCAAAGCTCTCTTCGAAGGCCGGGATGCTTGATCCGGCGGATCCTCGGCTTCTGCTCGCATTCTTCGGGGGTTTCGGGGGTTGAGGGTTTGTTTGGGGTTTACGGTTCAGGGAGTGTACGAGTCCGGGGGCTTAAAGCTTGTGGGGTTCGGGGTTTCGGGGATCTACTCAGCCATTTTTGCTTAGTTCTGAATACAAGGGCCACAACAACTCGTGCCCACGACGCACCCCCTCCCCCAATAGCCCCGAGCATACACTACAAGTTAGCTGATGAGTCCCTATGTTTGAACCCCTCAGCCTGCATTCCCACCCCTCCTTTCGTCCTTCAGCCCCCACCCCCCTCCCTCCGAAAAAACATCTCCCCCGGGGGCGGGGGGGGAGAAACAACATTCTAGGGACCGGGCTTTGGGGTTTAGGGTTAACAAATTCGGGATGTTTAGGGTTTAGGGTTTAGGTTTAGGGTTTAGGGCTTAGGGTTTCGGGTTTAGGGATTAGGCTTTAGTGAGGGCGCCAGCTTTGTGAACCTCCCTTCGAGAGAAAGGTCTTAAACCAGGACAGGGCCCGCGCGGGACCGTACGGGTTTGCGCGGGCCCTACGGCCGTAAGGCCCTGAGGGGCTTGCGGGCCTTGCGGGCCCTACGGGCTCTACGGGCCTTGCGCGCCTTACAGGCCTTGAGGAATCTAAGGGCTCTACGGACTTTACGGGCCTTACGGCCTTGCGGGCTCTACGGGCCTTGCGTGCCTTAGGGGCCTTAAGGAATCTAAGGGCTCTACGGGCTCTACGGGCCTTACGGGCTCCTACGGGCTCCAACGGGCTCCTACGGGCTCCTACGGGCTCGTACGGGCTCGTACGGGCTCGTATACGGGCTCCGGGCCTGTACGGCCCTTGCGGGCTCTACGGGCCTTACGGCCCTCCTACGGGCATATGGCCCGGGCCTGGTTAAGGACCTTGGTCGAGAAAGAAGCTATGTCAAGGCACACGTGATTCTCGGAGTCGGTCACGTAGAGGTGAGCATTGGCCTGCCCATGCGGTTTAGGGTGTGGGGTTTAGGGTTTGGGGTTTAGGGTTTAGGGTTTAGGGATAACTCTCACCGGCCCTAAGCCCCACGCCTCAATCATGGTCCCTTTCGTGGGTTGCTATGGCCTAAACCCTAAACCCACAACCCACTGAATCCTACACCTTCAAGCCTTAAAACCTACCGGACCCAAGACCAAACCCTTGTAAGCCCTAAACCCTAGAATCCCAAAACGCCTCCAACTCAAAAAACCCTAAACCCCAACCCAAACCCCAACCCCGAGCCCCTAAACCCCTAAACCCCAAACCCTAAACCCCAAACCCAACCCTAAACCCCAAACCCCTAAACCCTAAATCCTAAGCCCTAAACCCTAAATCCTAAGCCCTAAACCCCTAAACCCCAAACCCTAAACCCCAAATCCCTAAACCCTAAATCCTAAATCCCAAGCCCTAAACCCCTGAGCCCCTGAATCCCAAACCCTGAGCTTGCCTCGTCCAAGGCGAGGCCCCTCGGTCGACTCATGGTGGCATCCCGGGCAGGCTGGCCGTCGCCACCTCGCTAAGGAGTAGGGTTTTGGGTTTTAGGTTTTGGGTTTGGCGTTAGGGCTAGAGTTTAGGGCTAGAGTTTAGGGTTGAGGGTGTTGGGCTTACGTGTAACTATGGAGTTTATGTACGGTATGTATAGGGCTATTTAGGTTCTGGGGTTTAGGACCGTCTCGGTGAAGGGCTTGGGGTTCACAGGGTTTAGGTTTATGGTCATCGGGTGCTGGTTGTTGGGGTTTGGGGTTTAGTGTTTAGGCCTTACGTGTTTAGGGTTTAGGGCTTGGGTTTAGGGTTAGGGTTTAGGGTTTAGGGTTTAGGGTTTAGGGTTTAGGGTTTAGGGTTTAGGGTTTAGGGTTTAGGGTTTAGGGTTTAGGGTTTAGGGCTTGGAGAAGCCGTGTATCAAGGATCGAGGCAAAGGTTCGGTTACTGATTTGTTTCAACACGGCCTCGTATAGGGTTAAGGGTTAAGGGTTAGGGTCTCGGGTTTAGGGTCTAGGGTCTAGGGTCTAGGGTCTAGGGTTTAGGGTTTAGGTTTTAGGTTTTGTTGTGTTGTTGTTTTTTTTTTTTTTTTTTTTTGGGGGGGGGGGGGGGGGGGGGGGGGGGGCTGTCCTTGAAGAAGATTCTGCGAGCTTGGGGGTCCGCTTGGGGTCCGAAGTGGGTGCCCTGGTTCTGAAAACTCCTGCCGAGTCGCCAAGTCCTCTTTTGCTGTCAAGTGCCATGGTCTTTCTTCATACTTATTCTGTGCAGGCCCAATTCTTCCATCATTACATAATCAAAACGTTGAAAACCAAGCCCTGTGAATACACACTCTCCTCCTTTTAGCTTACAGTTCAGGCGATTCACCCTAAACTTATCCTGAAGCGTGCCCCGAAACGGAAAACCCAAGACCCCAAAACCCCAAACCCTACAGTAAAAGCCCAAACCTAACCCTAAAACCAACAACCCTGACCCCCAAACCAACAACCCTCAACTCCAAAACCCAAAACCGTAGACCCCAAAACCCTCAACCCCCAATCCCTCAGCCCCGGAACCGTCAACCCTTGACCCTAAACCCCCCAGCCCCCAAGCACCCTCAACCCTAAACCCTAAACCCTAAAACCCTCAACCCTGGAGTTCCTGGGGCTGCCGCTGAACTTGGTGTACGACTCGCCAATGCCAGCGGCGGTCAGCACTTCGTTCCGGCCCATGTCCTCATCACCCCCCCCAAAACCCTAAACCCTAAACCCTAAACCCCTAAACCCCTAAACCCCTGAACCCCTAAACTCCTAAATCCCTAAACCCCTAAATCCCTAAACCCCTAAACCCCTAAACCGCTAGGATTCGATTCCAACTCCTTGGTGAGGATTTGCCATGCTTTGGAAGGCTTTGGGCTTTGGAAGGCTTTGGAGTGCTTAGGGCCCAGGACGGTTGAGGGTTGCTTGTAAGGACTTGGGCTCGGGCCCTGAATGGAACACGGATGGTCGGTCAAGAAGATGAGCTGAGTCGTTTCGGGCACAGATCCCAGCCCTGCTCTGGCAGCCTTGCTACCGGGTGTGTCGCTGTAAGCCAGCCTCTAATCCCCGAACCCCGTAAACCACCGCGTTCGAAGAACCTAGACCCCTAAGCGTTGCTGTCATCTACAGGTCCACTGGTCGCCAAAGCAGACCTTGAGCCCTAAACCTCATATATAGGACCCCGAAACAGGGACCCTTACAAAAAAGAGTCGTAATGAGAGGGTCGGGAATAATTACGAATAGTGTTCCCTTCTGTCCGTTAATCAATGTACTCTAAGAACCCCAAAAACCCTATTCGAGTTGTTCAGGGCCCCTAGACTAACGGCCCCTCTGTCGCCAAAGCTCCAAGACCTTGATCTTGTGGTTCCCGGCGTCGCAGAAATAGAGCAGCTGCCTCCCCCAAAAAGCCCTCACACCCTTCTACCCAAAGAGCCCAAGCCCCCTTTAGGGTTTAGGGTTGAGGGTTGAGGGCTGAGGGTTTAGGGTTTAATTCAGGGATCAGGTTTAGGGGCATTGGGCTCTCTGCGGAATCCGTGCAGGCAAGAAAGGGGGGGGGGGGGGCTGGTGGAGTGAGGAATGCGTCGCCGGGTCGATGAGATTAGGGCTGAGGGTTTTCCAGCCGTCATCGACCCTCCAGGCTGACTCAACACACAAACCTGAGCCCGAAACCTAAACCCCCCCAAAACCAGAAACCCCAAACCCGAAACCCTAAACCCTAAACCCCAAACCCGAAACCCCAAACCCGAAACCCTAAACCCTAAACCGAGGACTGAGCTGTGTCGGATTCCAAGCCTATGGGCCCCCCGAATTCCCCAAAACCTCAAAATCTGTGGGACCCTAAGGCCCCCGAAAAGCCTAACCCTAAAACCCTAAACCCTAAACCCGGAACCCTAAACCCTAAACCCTAAATCCGGAGCCATCCCTAGCAGCTCTTCAGAGCCCCTAAATCACCAAAGAGTCCCAAACCTTAAGCACTCGAGAGCCTTGTCGACAGGGCGCACGAAAGGGATGCTCCTAGACCCGAGAGAAACCTAGGAACAACAAGGGTACCCTTTTTGGGTTTGAAGGGCTTGTAAGGGAGGGTAAAGCGCCCTGAAAAAGGGACATAAGGGCCGGCTCTGGGTCCTAAGGTCCTAGCCTCGACGTAGCAAAGGGTTTAGGGTTTAGGGTTTTAGGGTTTAGGGTTTAGGGTTTAGGGTTAGGGTTTAGGGTTTAGGGTTTAGGGTTTAGGGTTTAGGGTTTAGGGTTTAGGGTTTAGGGTTTAGGGTTTAGGGTTTAGGGTTTAGGGTTTGGGTAAAACCTTCTGCAAAGCCTTACAATGTCTTCGCATCGCCCCGCCTCGTGGAATCCAAGGCCATGGCACCCGGCTCCGCCAGGGGTGCATGCGCAGGCAGCCAGTCCTTTGATAAACCCTAAACCCTAAACCCTAAACCCCAAACCCTACACCCTACACCCTAAACCCTAAACCCTAAACCCTAAACCCTAAACCCTAAACCCTAAACCCTAAACCCTAAACCCTAAACCCTGAACCCTTTCGATTTGCCCCCTGTAAAGCTGGTGGTTCCTGATTTGGGCTTCTAGGATCAGACGGGGTAGTCGGTCAATCCTTCTGTTTTGATGACTGCCTTTACGCATCTCCCTCTCCCCCTCTCCCTCTTGCTCTCCTCCTCTTGAGCCCAAAGTGAACCCAGCGACCAAATCCACACACTATGGCGGTTTACGTCCAGTCCTTTGATAAACCCTAAACCCTAAACCCTAAGCCCTAAACCCCAAACACTAAACCCTAAACCCTAAGCCCCAAGCCCTAAACCCTAAACCATTGATGAGCCCAGGGAGCCGCCATGAGCAGCTGCAGCAAGAGGTCAAGCTGATCTGGATCCCGGCTGCAAGACCTCATTGCGCAAAGTCTTGTCGTGCTCGGGGTCTTAGGGTCTTCGGGAATTTTGGTTCTCAGGGTCATTTTGGGTTTTAGGGTCTTGGGGCTTATAAGGGTCTAGTCTTTTGGGTTCTGAGGGTCATTTTGGGTTTTAGGGTCTTAGAATCTTTTTGGGTTTCAGGGTCGTAGGGGTCAGGGTGTAGGGTTCGCAGGCGGCCATGCATTCAGAGAAAACAGAGGGAGGGGCGAGAGCCACAGAAAGGCGAAGACGCGATCAAGCTATCAAGTACGCCGCACTAGATACATTGGTGCTTGACCTGAACGATCTGCCTGCAGAAACCCCCCAAACCCTATACCCTAAACCCTACTCCGCAATACTCTCCTCAAGCCCTCAAGCAACAATCTGAACTGAACCATGAACCTCCGAACACTGACTAATTAAGGACTTGGGGGTAGGCACCCCCCGGCGGCACTCTAAACCCTAAACCCTAAATCCTCAACCCGAAGCCCTTAACCCAAAACCCTAACCCCCCCCCCCCCCCAAAAAAAAAAAAAAAAAAAACAAAGAGTCGAGCTCCCCGCGTGTAGTGCACTGACCCAGGGTCGACCGACCTTTGCACTGGTCTTGTGGGGAGTTTAGGGTTCAGGGCTTTGGGCTAGGGTTTAGGGTTTAGGGTTTAGGGCCCAGGGTTTCGGGAGTTTAGGGGGTTAGGGAATTTAGGGCATTTAGGGAGTTTAGGGAGTTAGGGAGTAAAGGGTTGAAGTTGCAAGGTTTAAGGCTTAGGGTTTAGGGTTGCCTTGCTTTGGTGGGGGATGGGCCAAGGCAGCGCAGGAGCACTGGGAAGAAAGACCCTGCCGCACGTTTTAGGGCTTGGGGTTTCGGTGGTTTTGGGGCCTTGGGGGTGTTTAGGGGGTTAAGGGGTCTTGTTTACAATCTTAGGGCTAATGAAGTTCGCTCTGAGTAAGGAGGTCTAGAGTCTACAGCTACGTCAAGCAAAAGCGCAAGGAGAGAACATGCACAAGAACCAAGCGAACCTCAGGCGTCTCTCACGCTTGATTCCTGCAACAGCACTGTGTGGCCCTGACCCTGAACCCTGAACCCTGAACCCTGAACCCTGAACCCTGAACCCTGAACCCTGAACCCTGAACCCTGAACCCTGAACCCTGAACCCTGAACCCTAAACCCTAAACCCTAAACCCTAAACCCTAAACCCTAAACCTACCTTTGGAGTAGACCCTGGAAAACAAGTATATACTTTTTAGGTATAAGCAGCTATAGTAGGAACCCAGAACCAACAAAAGTATTAAAGTACAGTACTCCAAAACCCAGTAAACCCTAAACCCTAAACCCTAAGCCCGCAGTTCAAAAGATGAACCCCTACTGTACAGCCAAGGTGCACTGGCCAATCGCCCTGGGCTTGCGAGACTGCTTGGGGCTTTGCCAGCTTGGGAATGGGGTTTAGGGTTCGGGTTTAGGATTTAGGGTTGAGGGTTCAGGGTTCAGGGTTTAGCTAATCTCCGATTGCTTCTTCCTTCTACAAATGGAGGAACCCGACGCCTATTCGGGAGTTGGGCAAGTAGCTCCTATACCTTTGACGACATGCCTTTTGTCCAGGAGCACGCAGAAGCTCGCAACGATTGAAAACATGGTCTGTGCGGACTGGTCATCAAGAAACACTCAAGCTGTCGCCGTGAAATGCTCAAGGCTCCGACCGCTCAAATTCAGAGAAACCGTTCCAACCCAGCCTGATACTGGCAACAAAAACTCAGAATCTCTGATGGCTATTGCGCGCTTTTTGATGTTGGAGGAAGAATGTGAGTGCTGACACAAATGGTAGCAACAGCGGAATAAGTACTACGTATGTCAACGCGCTACTCGCAACGTGAGAGAGAATAGTACAATTGTTGGCGAATTCTTCGTTGCAGCAGCCCGCTGTGGATGACGTGTGTGGTACTACCGGGGTCGGAATAATTACTAATAATCTTCCCTTATGACTAAATACTTATACTCGAATACCCCACCCCCCACCCCCCCTTTAAAAAAAACATAATAATTTACAAGAACATGTTCTAACTATGAAGGCCCATATATTACCTTTGCCTACATTGGGCCAGAGCTTTTGGGACCTACATGCCCCGTCGTTCAACGAGCCGGAGTGTGGAACGGAGTTGGGGTTCAGGGTTTCTCTGCACCCCAAACCCGAGACCCTCGTAAACCCCCCAAAGCCTCTATATCCCCTGACCAACCTTTACAGCACCACTATAAGCCCCTATAAAAACACTTACAAACCGCCTTGCATGGGCCCGGCTAGAGAAATCCTGGGTCCTTGTACACCCGACGCCCACTTGCGCCCTAAACACTACCAGTAGAACTTGTGAAACCTTTATCAACACTTCTCAACTCTAAACCCTAAACCCTAAACCCTAAACCCTAAACCCTAAACCCTAAACCCTAAACCCGAAACCCTAAACCCTAAACCCTAAACCCTAAACCCTAAGCCCTAAACCCTAAACCCTAAGCCTAAACCCTAAACCCCAAATTCTATCTGAGGGCTGGGCCGTCGGGGCGCTTGCAAGGCCGCAGAGCCCGGTGGTGGCGTCGAAGGCGAAGGCCGCACAGCCGCTGGAGACCTCGGGGCGGGGGAGATGCTTTTGGTGTTAGGGTTGTTAGGGTTGTCAGGGTTGTTAGGGTTGTTAGGGTTGTTGGGGGTTGTAGGGTGGGTTTAGGGTTTACAGTTTCGGGTTGAGGTGTTTTTTTTGGGGGGGTTTAGCTTGCAGGGATTGGAGGGAGGCTTGGGTGTGTAAGGTGGATATGGGTTTAGGGTTTAACGGTTTAGGGTCTAGAGTTTCGGGTTCAGAAAAAGTTGGACTTTGGCGGTTTAAGGTTTGGATGTTCGAGGGGGCTTGCCGATTGAGGTTTACAGTTCAGGTTTGGGTTGGAGACTTCTATAGGGCTTTTCGGCTATTGTGCTCCATTCAGAGGTCTTTTGCCCCAAGCTGCAAACGACGAAGACCCTAAAGCCCAAACGGAAAACACAACAACCCGCAGGACACCACCCAAAAGAGCCCCAAAGCACTGAGCCCTACCTTGGCCCCAAACCCGCAAACCCCTATTCAAGCCCTATAAGCCCCAAACCCAAACACCCTAAGAAGTCCTACGTACCCATTGGCCTCGCAATGCACTGCGCAGGCCCGGGCAGACCTGGCATCTCCCTTTCCCTCCCCCCCCCCCTCTCCCCACAAAAAAACAAAAACTCGGTTTCGGGTTCAGGGTTCAGGATTTAGGGCTTAGGGTTCAGGGGTTTAAGAGGTCCAGGTTTCAGGGGTTTAGGGGGTTGAGGCTTAGCTCTGGGTTTACAAATCTTTAAGGGGAAGATGTTAAGGACTAAGACGCTGGAAAACGCAGTTCTCTGCTACATCACGACATTGAAACACTAGCACTAATAATACACAAATAAGAAGAATAATCATACAAACCCTATAGCAATCATAGATATACAAAGGCCAGGTAGTTTGGTTTATTGAAAGGCTTAGACAAACGGGGACCTACTTCCCAAACTCCCCACGAACTAGACCCAAGAGTAGCCCATGGACCAAAAGGCTGCCATTTTTGATTTAAAGTGGCTACAAGGGCAAATGAACACTTAAAAACGGGAATAAGGGGGCCTACTCTGGTTCCTAGCTATGAGTTCGTAAGCCCACGGCCTTGTACTTTCCCGGAGCTCCGTACTGAAAGCCCAGCCGCAGTACCCCTCACCACCTTTAGACCAGCATCATGAATACGCTTGCTATAAGTAGAACGACCCCATGTTTTAGCCTTTTTTCACATGCCTGATAGTATTTGTATTACTAGTACTCTTCGTATGATTTGTACTACTGGTAGTTGTATTTTGAGTATTGTAACAAATTTTGTACTCTTGGTATTCGTACGTCGCAATATAGTAGTATAGTCTAGTATGGATATCACTCGACCCTAAACCCTAAACCCTAAACCCTAAACTCGAAGCTAGGAGCAGACGTATGACGTGTGACTCTTCTGTTCCCCTCTCGAGTCTCAGTCACGCGGCTGTCAGCTGACATGCCAGGCGTTCAGAGTTGAGGGCCAGGGTTTACGGTTTAGGGTTTGGGGTTTAGGGTTTAGGGTTTAGAATTTAGGGTTTAGGGTTTAGGGTTTAGAATTTAGGGTTTAGGGTTTAGGATTTAGGGTTTAGGTTTTAGGGTTTTGGGTTTGATGTGCAGAGTTTTGTGGCTCGAAGGGTGCCGCCGCTTCTTCCTCAAGCCCGAATTAACCGTAACGTCGGATTTGCCAACAGCCTGTAGTCTTGCTTCTGTTTTTTGTTCCTTTTTCTGGGGGGGGGGGGGGGGGGGGGGCGAGTCTCTGGCATGAATTAGTGAATGCCCTAAACGTCCGAACTACCATCTTCTTGCATCCAGGTCTTGAAGAACTACCCTAACTACCCTGAAACCATGCACCCTCACACGCTGAGGCCCAAAACCCCAAGCCCCAAACCATAACCCTCCAAATTTCCTGGACCCCAAACCCTAAACCCTAAACCCTAAAACCTAAACCCTAAACCCTAAACCCTAAACCTGCAGTCCGGGTGGCGGCTGCGGGACCGGCGACGCCAGCGGCAAAGGCGAGGGCATTCGGTCGTACCCCTGGCAAAGTGCGGAGCAGTATAACCCCTAAAGCCGAAAACCCCTAAACCGAAACCCTAAACCCTAAACTCTGCAAACCAATACCTCATCATTCCTTGGTGTCCGAACACCACCCCCCCCCCCCACACCGTTTAGATGCCTTGCTGGTGTAGGGCTCGCATTCAGGGGGGAAGGGTTTAGGGTGGGATGAGGGATGAAGGGTGTTTGGGTTAAGGATTCTGCGTTGGGATGTTCCCCCTTAAACAGTCCTTCGCAGGGAGAATAGTAAGGGGTACTATATTCCCTACTACACGGCGGAAACTCCGAAATTCTGCGTATGGTGAGCGGAGAGGGATGAGGTGAGTGTGAGGGTTCAGGGTTTAGGGTTTAGGGTTTAGGGTTTAGGGTTTAGGGTTTAGGGTTTAGGGTTTAGGGTTTAGGGTTTAGGGTATAGGGTTTAGGGTTTAGGGTTTAGGGTTTAGGGTTTAGGGTTTAGGGTTTAGGGTTTAGGGTTTAGGCCTAGGCTTAGTCTCGAAACTTCCCCTGGCAACCTGCTTCTAAACTGTCTGTATGTGCGATAAACCCGATAAAGCCCTGTAAACTCTATGAAGCCCCATAAACCCTTTGGTGCCTATTATAAACCCAATTAACACTATAAACCCTGTAAACCCTATAAACCCTACAGACCCTATAAGCCCCTTAAACCCCATAAACCCTATAAACCCTATAGACCCTATAAAGCCCATAATGCTCCAAAAACCCTATAAACCCTAAACCCTAAACCCAAAAAACATTTGGGGTTTGGGGTTTAAGAATTCTGCGTGTGGTGAAGGGTGAGAGATGCGGCGACTGTGAAGCCCCTGGGCTCAGCCTGTCTGTGAAATTCCCAGCCCACAAGCCATGACTTCGCAACCCTCATCTAAACTGTCTTTATGCGCTGTGAGCCCTATGAAGCTCTATCAACCCTATGAACCCTATGAAGCCCTAAACCCTATAAAACCGATAAACCCTGCAAACCCCAAAAATGCCTATGACACCCTATGACACCCTATGAAACCCTATGAAACCCTACGAAACCCTACGAAACCCTATAAACCCCATACACCTGATAAGCCGTATAAGCCCTATAAAGCCCCATAAAGCCCTATGAAACCCTACGAAACCCTTCAGAAGCCCAGGGGAGCAAGCGCACCCTAAACCCCATAAACCTTATAAACCCTATAGACCCTGTAAACCCTGTAAACCCCATAAACCCTATAAACCCTATAAACCCTACAAACCCTATAAACCCTATAAACCCTATAAACCCCATAAACCCTATAAACCCTAAACCCTAAACCGTAAACCGTAAACCCTAAACCCCCCCCCCCCCCCAAAAAAAAAAAAAAAAAAACGGAGACCCAGGAGCATAGTGCCTCTGGGCACGGCTGGATGTATGGAGAGGGAGACCTCGACAGGCGCAAACCCGGGGCATCTCGGAAAGGGCTTTCCATAGTGTTTAGGGTTTAGGGTTTAGGGTTTAGGCTTTAGGGTTTAGGGCTGCGACCGAAAGCCACCAGCACGCTTACAAGTCTGGAGCTCTTCGAGAAAAATCTTGCTTTGGGGTTTAATTAGGGTTGGAATTTGGGATGTTCCATCTTATACCAACAGTCCTTAATCGGGATTTTAATCGGGGGTACTATCATCCCATTATTAAGGACTGTTAGCATTCGGGCGAACATCCCAACTTTAGGGTTCTTCTCCGAAAGAGTAGCCTCGATCCTATGCAACACAACCCACTCCCCCCCCCCCCCCCCACCCTGCTCGAGATGCAAGCGAGCACCTCATAGCCTAAACCCTAAACCCTAAACCCCAAAGAGCTTCTCGGCGAAGCAGCGTGGTGGCCGGCAGCGTCGTGGCAGTGACCTCATCTTACTGCTTACAATTGGGGGGGGGGGGGGGAGGAGCCCTAAACCCTAAACCCTGAACCCTAAACCCTGAACCCTAAACCCTGAACCCTAAACCCTGAACCCTAAACCCTGAACCCCAAGGTGGAAGGGAGGAAAGGGTTAGGTTAGGGGTTCCCTCAGATTCCTACCCCTTTGAGAGCACGTAAGGCAATACCTCTATTCACAAGTCCCTGGACTTGCGTTGAAGATGAGGCATGAGGTGGGCAAATCTGAAAAACCGTTTGATACTTCTCTAGAAGGTGCCGTCCAACTCCCAACCCCAAACCTTGAAGTCAAAACCCCAAACCCAAGTTCTTCAACCCAAGTAAAATAAGCAAGCATAAAGTTGGAACATCATTATCCTCATACCCCAAGAGGGGCTCCAAAGGGAATTCCAGCACTATTCGTCCTTAAACCATGTTCCAACAGTATGGAGTTTGCTGTATCCCGCAGGCTTTGGCCCCAGACTGACCTTGACCTCTTTCCATGGCAGGAATAGCCAAGACTGGCTGGGGACTGAAAGCCCTTGGGGTTTAGGCCTAAACTAAACCCTAAACCCTAAACCCTAAACCCTAAACCCTAAACCCTAAACCCTAAACCTTAAGGAACAAAGAGAGGGAACCTGTCCTTTTGGGATCTGCAGGGTTTGGGGCTTCTACAGTGTGGGAACTTCAAGAAAAAGACAGCCTGTACCCCAACATAGTATAATCCTTGCTACTGGAAACCCACAAAGAGGATGCCCCTGATGCAAACCCCTCTGCAAGGTGTCTTGCAATACCCTGAGTTCAGGGGCTCTGAGCCACGAACCCGCAGGCGCAGGGTTGGAGCTTACCCACCTGCCCTTTGCGAACGAGTATCCGTGCTGGTCCAGGTTGTTGATGAGAAGCGCGTGAAGGTTGTGGATGCCCTGGACCCAGGGTCAACCCACAAGTATGCACATTGAAGATTAGACCAGGCCTTGAAATAAAACCCAAGAGCCTGTAAACCATAGTCCAAAAAACCAGAAAGCCCTAAGACCGTAACGAAGAACACCCAGGCCCGGGGTTTGGGGTTTGGGGTTTAGGGTTTAGGGTTTAGGATACATGAACCCGAGACCTGCAGTGCACATCCCCGGCCTAACTTGTCAAGGCGTGCTCAAAAGGTTGAAGGGTTGAGGATTTAGGGTTCAGGGTTTGGGTTTATACACCTAGTTGCTGAGTACCTGGCCCAAACGGATGATACGATAAAGCCCCAAAAGGCCAAACGCTACCTGCTCGGCTACACCCTAAATAAACCCTAAACCCTAAACCCTAAACCCCAAACCCTGAACCCTGAACCCTAAACCCTAAACCCTAAACCCTAAACCCTAAACCCTTACCCTAAACCCTAAACCCTAAACCCTGAACCCTGAACCCTGAACCCTAAACCCTAAACCCTAAACCCTAAACCCTAAACCCTAAACCCTAAACCCTAAACCCTAAACCCTAAACCCTAAACCCTAAACCCTAAACCCTAAACCCTAAACCCTAAACCCTAAACCCTTCCCCACCAAAACCAAAAATCACGCACGACGAGGGACCCAGTCCAGGTTCGCGTCGTGGTGGATGTGGGGACATGGGCTTGCAGCCTTCGATTTAGGGTTTGGGGCTTAGGGAAAGTTTAGGGTTTAGGGTTTAGGGTTTAGGGTTTAGGGTTTAGGGTTTAGGGTTTAGGGTTTAGGGTTTAGGGTTTGGGGACTAGGGAAAGTTTAGGGTTTAGGATTTGACAAGGGTTGAGGGTATAGGGTAGTAAAGTTTAGGGTCACCCTACCTTTTTGAGATGTTTACCTTCCAAATCTGATGAGTCTTGACAACACGCAAGACAGAAGGCTGTCGGTTTGAGGGCTTGAGGCCTAGTTTTGCCCGTAAACCCTAAACCCTAAACCCTAAACCCTAAACATTTACCCTAAACCCTAAACCATGTATCACACCCCAGAAACCTGATTCGGGTCTTTGGCATGCGTGGAGGGTTAAGGGATTCGTGGGATTTGGGGGTTTGGGGTTGCCCTAAACCCTACACCCTAAGTCCTGACTCCTATAATCCTAAATCCTAACCCTAAACCCTAAACTCTAAACCCTAAATCACCCCCCCCCCCCCCCCCCCCCCGAATGGCCCTCAGCTTCCCGCACAGTCGTCGTGGTCGTCATGTAGCACCTGCAGGTGGCAGAAGCTTGCCGAAGGAGGCTAGGGTTCAGGGTTCAACACCCTCATAAGCACTTCCCTATGCTTCTGCAGCGTTTAGGGTTTAGGGTTTAGGGTTTAGGGTTTAGGGTTTAGGGTTGCGAGGTGTCTATAGGGTCTCGGGCTTTCAGGGGTGTATAGGGTTTATAGGGCTTTGAGGGTTCACAAGGTTTACAGGGTTGAGAAGAGTTTAGGGCTTTGGGCCTCGCAATTTCGGGTCTTCCTCCCAGCCCCGCCCGAACCCTAAACCCTAAACCCTAAACCCTAAACCCTAAACCCTAAACCCTAAACCCTAAACCCTAAACCCTAAACCCTAAACCCTAAACCCTAAACCCTAAACCCTAAACCCTAAACCCTAAACCCTAAACCCTAAAACCCAAACCCTCAACCCTAAACTCTTTCCGTGAAGGCACATGGACTCGCGGCTGCATCGGCACCAGCGGCGCATGGTCGTCGAAGCCCGGCCGTACCTTGGGGTTTGGGGGGTTTAGGGTTTAGGGTTTAGGGTTTAGGGTTTAGGGTTTAGGGCTAGGGGTTTCGGGGTTAGGGGTTAGGGTTTAGGGTCTGGGGTTTAGGGTTTGAGGGTTTGAGGGTTTGTTTAGGGTTTGGGGTTTGGGGCTTGGAAGGGTTTTGGGGTTGTGTGTGTAGAGTTTCGGGCACAAGGTTATTAGGGGATCCAAGGTTCAGAATTTGGGATTTGGGGCAAACCCAAACTTTGCCAAAGCCCAAACCCTGGCAACCCAAAACCTGTTGTACCCCACATCCTGCCCCCTAAGCCCGAAAGCCCGATAAAGCCCTAAAGCCCCAAACCCCTAAAACTTTGAACCCCTAAGCTTGCTAGTCGGTCTTGCAAACCAGGATGTTTCAGCAGTCTTGGGCGTGCTCCGTCGAGTGGGTTTCAGCGCTCGAGCCCCTTCCTACATGTTGTTGTTTCAACAGGGTGGAGAACTCCGGCCAATGTGGCCAAGCTGAGTGTTGGCACCCTTCCTGCGCTAAAGCTTGGTTCTGTGCCACAAGCATTTGGTAATCAAACAGACGACCCTACGTTGGCTCTTTGCGGCCAGCACCTTGTGAACACGTACCTGTTTTCTTAAGAGATGTTTCCAAGTCTGATTTTGGTTTTCGGTCGTCAAAAGTCCTGAGTCCCGCTTGCTTGTACAGTGCCCGTGGCATCCATATGCGTTGCACCGAACGATATCTGGCAACCACCACGTGTTCTCTTTAACACCGTTTTTGATGGCCGCGGATATCCGGCGATTATGCGGACGGTGGTTGGCGCACCGGTATAGGCCACGCACTGTCCTGTTCCCATCGTAGCCCTATGGTAGGTATGGAATGTGTATATTCTGCTGGGAAGCAGGCCCGAAAGCGGCGCAATGCCTGAATCACTAATCCCATCCCCCTAATATTAAACCCCCTTTACCCCCTAATATTGAATACCCCAAGTATAGATATATTGGTAAAATATTTGCAGGAGTTTTGACAATTAAGTGGTAGGGCGGAGGTTTCATATTGGGGGGAGGGAATGTACCGAGTCCTATACATCTTGGCGTGCTTCTCGCTTGGATGGTCCGCTGTGACAGTGCGCATAAGCCCCTAGAGTCCGAGCGCCCTTCAGCCTACTAAACCTCTAAGCCCTCAAGCCCTCAACCACACCTAAACCCTAAACCCTCTAGACCCGAAGCCCTAAACCCTAAACCCTAAACCCTAAACCCTATACCCAAAACCCTAAACCCTGAACCCTAAACCCTAAACCCTAAACCCTAAACCCTATAGACCCTCGACCCCCCAAAACACCCCAAGATCCGAGGCGTGGGCTCCATGTACAGCGCGGTGCAGGAGACCTCGGCAGGGATGCCGTAGGTACCTGCCAGGAAGGGTTTAGGGTTTCGGGTTTAGGGTTTAGGGTTTAGGGTTTAGGGCTTAGACCCTTTCTTTGCTACCTACCCGAACCCCCATCCCACCCGCATGCCCTCACAAGCAAGGACTTAGGGTTTCGGGTTGAGGCTCTAGGGTCCCCTTTTGAGAGGATTGATTACCCTAAACCCTAAACCCTAAACCCTAAATCCTAAACCCTAAACCCTAAGCCCTAAACCCTAAACCCTAAACCCTAAACCCTAAACCCTGGTAGGGGATGGCGCACCCAGGCACCAGCCAAAGTTCCTCGACTCGCGGTTCGTCTCCTGCGCTTGCATTTGAAGTTCAGGGCTTGCCGGGTTTGGGGTTTAGGGGTTCGACGAACCCTAAACCCTAAACCCTAAACCCTAAACCCTAAACCCTAAACCCTAAACCCTAAACCCTATACCCTATAATCCCTAAACTTAAAACCACGGAAGTTCGCGCCCTGATTCTTTGGCAAGGGGCTTCCGCAACCTATCCAGCCACAGAGATCCCACAAAAAGGGTTTTGGGGCTCTTGTGCTAGAGCCCGAAACCCTAAACCCTCTACAAGCCCTACCATTAGCCCCCAAAAAAGTTAAGCCCGACAGCCCTACAAATACAAACCCCCGAAAGTTGGGGGCCCAACAAAGCCGCATCAACATGAAGACTCATGGAACCCAAAATCCCTCTTAGGTGTGGCTCTTGGGGCACCAGGTAAACCCTGACCCTAAACCCTAAACCCTAAACCCTAAACCCTAAACCCTAAACCCTAAACTCTAAACTCTAAACCCTAAAAACCCTAAACCCTAAACCCTAAACCCTAAACCCTTTTCATGGCCAAGCCGCAAAGCCGGGAAGGGCACCGCCAAACCAAGTGCGGCTGTCGCGCTGGCAGGTGACCTTCGAGATGTGGGGGGGGCGCATAGGGTTCATGTGGGGTTTAGGGTTTAGGGTTTAGGGTTTAGGGTTTTTAGGGTTTTTAGGGGTTTTTAGGGTTTTTAGGGTTTTTAGGGCTTTTAGGGTTTTAGGGTTTTGAGGGCTTTAGGGGTTTTAGGGCTTTTAGGGTTTTTAGGGTTTTTAGGGTTTTTAGGGGTTGGGGGTTGGGGTTTGGGGTCGGGGGGGAAGGAAAGGGCGAGAGGGTTGACCCTCGACTCTGTACCCAATCTTTTTGGGTAACCTAGAAATCAATCAAAGGGTATTGTGAAAACAACCTGCAACAATGTAGGGGCTTTGGGTTCGCCAGGTCTGGCTGGAGAAAACTGCAATAACCCTAAACCCTGAACCCTGACAGCCTCGACCCTAAACCCTAAACTCTCAAAGCCCTGAATCCCTCAAACCCTGAAACCCTTAACCCTAAACCCGTAAAGCCTAAACTCTCAAAGCCCTGAAACCCTTAATCCCTTAACCCTAAACCCGTAAAGCCCTCAAAGCCCAAACCCTAACCCTAAACCCTAAACCCTAAACCCTAAACCCTAAACCCTAAACCCTAAACCCCAAAGGAGCTTCGGACCAGGGCACGCGCTCTTCGGCCAGCACGGAGCTCTGGAAGCCTTCCTTGGATGCTCGGGGCGGCCACCCTCTAGCAAGAACCCTAAACCCTAAACCTTAAACCCGAAACCCTAAACTTTAGGCCCTAAATCCTAAACCCTAAACCCTACACCCTAAACTTTAGGCCCTAAACCCCGAGCCTTAACCCTAAACGCGAAACCCCGAACCCTAAACCCCAAACCCTAGCCCCAGGCCCTACCTAGAGGCGTCAAAACCCAGGAAGAAGTAGGTCACCTTGAGAACCAGGGTTTGGGGAGAAGAAGGCGGTTCCCGAAAGAAGGGTTTTGCACGATGCATTTGTATGGGTCTGCGACGGGTATTGTTGTAGATTTTAAAATGCGGCGTGACGGCCCGGCCTGATGAGCGAGAGGCAATTTGGCTAAACCCTAAACCCTTGTGCGCGGAGGTTCAACACGAGTGGAACAACCCGACAGCTGCTCAGGCCATCCAGGTGCGATCTTAGGGTTTAGGGGTTAGGGCTCCTGAATCTAAGTGCCATCATACTTTCTTTTTAACGAGAATCATGTAGGCCTTAAGAGCTTTTGGCATTTCTGGTTGTCTTTGTGCGGTGATAAAAAGGGTGCCCGAGCGAAGTTTCACATCATCCAGCCATGGCCATCACAGCGGTGATGAGCCCAATCATCGCTTGAGGGGCTCTGGAGGCGAACATTTCGATGGATTATCTTCGACGTCGCTTTCAAGGAGAGCTTCCTGCCGATCCGCCAAGTGATAGTCATGAAACTGGAAGCATTGATAGACTACAGATGGAAAATCCGAATTTAGATGACCGGGCTGTACCGGGAGATGAGCCGCTTCGTGGTGGTGACCGGGCTGTACCGGGCGACGAGCTAAGACGTACGGATGTGCCGGTGTCTGTACAAGGAAATGTCTGGTGGTCTGAGCGGGCCAACAATGAGCTGTTGCTGCGAAATATGAGGCCAAGCGACTTACCCTTGGAGGAGACAGAGCCTCCTTATGGGCAAGGAACGACAGGTTTGGATGTTCCTGCTTCAACCACTGAGCATTTTGATCTGACTGCTAGAGATAGTCCTCGACATTCAGGTGGCGAGAGGTCAGACACTGGAACTGAGAGAGCAAAGGCTCCTTCGCTGGGAAGCATGGATTCCAGAGGAGGGTCGTCAGGCATCTTTGCTGAGCGACCGGTGGGAGTTAGATCTTTTGGTGGAGCTGATGGCTTGGACGCAACTACGACAGCGAGAGACCAGCAAGCTCTATCAAGTACTGCTCCTTTGACCCAACCTGGTTTTTTGGATGCAAGAGCAATGGAAGAAGCTAGACATCACATGGCAACGCTACCTGCCTCGCAACTGATGGACCTCCTACATGACAGCCGAAGACCCATAGACCCCGTCATGGCCATCTTGCTGCAGAGACTGGAAAAGGCTGAGCAGTCTAGATCGACTAGCACCTTGCATTCTGCTTTGGAGATTCCCGTAGAAGGGCAGCGATATGAGCAGTTTCAGCAGAGTAGCAGTAGAGTAGGTGTGTACAGACCGGAAAACCTTGAGCATTTGTACAGAACGACAACATATGATGGCCTGATTAGAAGGGATGGGAGCTTAGGGGTTCAGGGTGATATGAGTTGGGACAGAGGTGGTGGTTTAGGGGGTATCGCACAGCCTGAAGCTTCGTGGGGACGTTTTCCTGCAGTCCCGAGCCTGCCTGGCACGCACTCCTTTGCCCAGCCTGATGCAAGCCGCGCAACCTCTAATGCCTTCCCTAAAGCCCCTAATGCCCCAAGCACCGCCAGGATAATGCATGCCCATCGTGAGGCGAGCCATGTAAGTTCCGTTGACCGAGCAGATCCATTTGTGTCAGCAGGACTGTTTCCTGCCGTGCCTGTGTCAGATCCCATAGATATCCTGGATAGGGTTCCTCCGCGGGATAGTGAAGGTAAGGGATGGGGAAAGGATAAGGGTTACTTTGGATCAGGAGGCCAGCATCCGCAAAGGCCTTCCCAGCACATCTATAACCCGGGACTTCCAGGGACTGGGGTTCTAAGGGATAAGGATTTGTTGGGGGATTGGGGGGGTTTGTTGGGTGTTGAGGGTCCCGTGAGACCACTGCCAGAACCTGTGCCCAGCCTGACTTCGTTGTTGCCCAACCTGCACCATGATCCTCCTATTGGGACTAGACAGCCGGACCGGCTGTTAGACATGCGAGCAGAATCTGGATCCAGGCCTCAGCCCCTGTCGCTGATTGACTTGGACCCCGTGCCAATCGCCACTGGTGTCACTGCCGCAGGTGACAGTCACTTTCCGCCTTTAATTGATGCGCTGTCCCCAAAGGCCAAAAGTCCGTTCAGGAGTGGGTTAGGAGGTTTGGGGGAGCCGGATGGTCCTAGGACCCCTAGGGTTGGTACTAGCGGTAATGCCGTGTACACTCCTGGTGGGACCCGTGTGCCAGAAGGACCACCTCCGCTTACGCCACCTCGGTCTGTATCCTTCGGTCCGACTACCACTGTGCCATTGCCACCTTCACCGATACCAGGTCCACCTCCTTTGCCATGGGACCCAAGTGAAGTAGGGAAATCCGAGGAGCCATCTAAACTGGTGCAAACCTTGCCTCTTTTAGAGGTAACGGAGGGATCCGCTGAGGCCAGCGTGGCCACTGGAGATTGGATGGCTAGGATCGGACCACTGATGCGCAGCCTTAGTCCGGGGGCTCCGGAATGGTGGTCTCGGGTAGTAAGCACTGCTACAGAGTACTATCACCAGTGGTTAAAGTCAGACTCTCTTCGTCGTCTTACCATAAAATCAGATGTGGTAGCCCAGGGTGCACTGCTAGAATATGGGTCTCTTCGGAGAGTTGAAGAAAGGGGGTCAGTACTTGTTCTCCAGGCGCTTCCACCAGCCTTGCAGAGCGAAGCAGTCAGCGTGAGAGCGTTGGGGACTGTGCCCTTATTATTCTTGGCTATGACCAAGTATCAACCGGGAGGAACTGGAGAGAAATCTGCAATCCTCTCATTTTTAACGCAGCCGCAATTAGAGGGAGGAAATGGGGTACAGTCAAACCATGCGGCGTTGCGCAAATGGGAGCGTCTGTATAGGCGCTGCGTCGAGCTAGGGCTCGCCCCGCCAGACCCCACCCTACTCGTAAGAGCCCTAGACGGGCTAGGCAAGGCCATTGGAAACAAGTCCCCGCACATAGCGTTCCGTCTTGCTACGTTCCGCCACCAATACCAGCTAGATGCAATACCTAACGAAACGAGTGTCTTGCAATATTGCCAATTGCTCATCGCAGAAGCGGAGGCTTGGATGATCGCTGCTTCCGCGGGGGGGGAACCGTCGAAGCATCCCAGAGTTGCTGCGATGGATCCTGCAGCTCCTCCCGAAAATCCAAAGAAACCACCAGCAGGAAAAGCTAAAGGGGGGAATAAGGGTGAAAAAGGGAAGGGTGAAGGGGGCCCATTAACTGCTGAAGGGAACTGTAAGTTCTTTATGTCCGATGGAGGATGTAGATATGGTAAGCCCTGTATCCATCCACACCCAACCCTAACGCCTTCAGAAGGAAAATGCTTCAACTGTGGCGCGGTGGACCATGGCATGACCGAATGCCCTAGACCGAAAAGTACTTCAACTCCAAGCCCAGGCAAAGGAAAAGGCAAAGAGAACAGCCCAAAGAAGCCTCCTCAGCCCTCCTGCCCTGCAGCTGAGCCGAAAGCACCTGCCGTGGCGCCAAGGAAGTCTCCGAAAGGTAGGAAGCTGGAAGGGGCCCCTGCTGTTGAAGGAGCTGAGTCGGAAGCCCGAGTTGCAGCACTCCAGGCGACAAGCGGGTATGACGGTGCCAAGGTGTTAAGTGTGGCCGCTTCCTTAAAGGGTATTGAAGAACATAAGCCCCGTGGGTTGATAGATGGGGGAGCAACACACAACCTTCGCTACGCTGGACCCAATGAATATCGGAAAGCCCGGCCAGTGACAGTGAAGCTGGCGTCCGGAGAAGCCCACGATCTTCGCATAAGTGCTGTAGGCACTCTACTGAGCCCTAACCCTGCAGTGCAACCAATCGTTGCCATGGGTCTGTGCACTAGACTTCTTGGGTGTAAGGTTGTCTGGGAGGGTAGCCAGTGTTGGATAGTGCATCCCAACTCGGGAACCTTAGATGTGACAATGGTGGATGACTGTCCGGAGGTCGAGAGCTCCGTTTGCCTTAATCTCATCCAGCAAATTGAGGAGGTGAGAGGAAAGTTGATGCTTAAGGCACTCCGCCCAGTCGAACCAGGATCGGCAGAGTGGGTGCAGGCCTCTGGGGAGGAGTTCTTTGAGGGGATTAGGGACTGGGTGCGAGCACAATGGACCGATGAGTCTGTGAATGCAGAGCACATTATCCCGAAGGAGAGCTTCGACATTCACGACCTGAAGTTGAACCGTCATGCGAGGCGTAGAATCAAACGAGGTCATGTCGTTGTGTGTGTTGGAGCTGACGTGTCGCAGTGGCGGTTTCGAGGCTCACAACAAGTGGTCAAACTCTCACCTGAAGTTAACGGGGGATTTCGAAATGAGGCCTTGTACAAGTACCTTTTGAGGTGTGCTGGCGATGGGCTTATTACAGGGCTTATCGGGGACATGCCACATCAGAAGGATGAACAGGTTAGGTGCATAACTCTTGCCGAAGTAGCGCAGCAAGGCTTGAGACGCACGTCGGATACCTCCCAGCAGTGTACGTTGGTCCTCAAGTATCCGGAAGGGTCGCCACTCACTCAGGATCCAGGGTTGGGTCAAATTGTGAAAACCTGGGCACTAAAAAATGTTTCCTTTGACTTGGGAGCATTGGATGGGACACACCAAGAGCCCACCCATGTAATCACCAACAGCGGTAGCATTTGGGAGACCTTTGATGAAGTTAGAGCACCTAACGGGTCGATATGGGCTCCAACTAAGTCGCACCATGAAGTAAAGAAATGGCCTAAAGCACTCTGTACAGCTGTCCACCTAGCCATGTCCGAATGGCAAAGAGGGCCTGAGTATTTGGAAAAAGAAGACAAC